GAACATCAAGGCCTAGCACATTTGTGCACAGGCATTCAATCCATGATTTACTGGGCATTAGTGCTTCATTTGTGCCAGGGCTTGCCAGGGCTGAGTCCTGACACCTCTAGGCTTGGCAGTTCATAGCCCTGGCATCTCTGGGCTTGCTGCATCAGTTATGATTTTTTTTTTAAATTGCTTGAGCCCTGGCACCTCTTTCATTACAAATTAAGCACAGCTGGGCATTGGCAAAGACTAAATCAGTGACTAGGCTTATAAATAGACCTTGAAAGTATGGTTGTTAATGGACATGGCCCAGTAAGTGATCATTTTCTGGATAAAAAACCCTGGAAATATTGCCCTCTTTCTTACATGCTTTAAAATCCCTCAATGTCTTAAGTATAGGATACATATGCATTAGAGTTATACTGAAAAAGCTGGGAGAAATGTTGAATCATAGAGAAAACTATTTGTTTTAGGCAATATTCTTGCATTATTTAATGTTATCAATTTATTTTTTAATCTTCAAAAACTCAACATACTTTATTGTATGTGGAATAGGAGTGTATAGCAAGGAAGAGCAAGTCAAACTCAGATTAGTGTGGGGTTTACTTGTCCCCAAGTGTATACGCTGTTCCCATGACACGCCTAGGTCTTACAAACATGGGAAGTAGGAGACTTCAATTTAGGATCAAATATAGATTTTAAAAAATATCATTAAACTAGCAGGACAGACTATGATTTGTATTTTGAGTTAAACCCAATTTGAGCAACATTTCCCTTTCTACTGTAACGTGAGAATATAGATTTGCTGTGGTAGACCTTGAAGCATAAGGTTTCTGACTTTCCCTGCTTCCACTCACACCTGAATGCTCTAAGTGGAATGAAAAGGTATATGTTCATTACCTAGTAATGAATCTTCCTCCGTCCTGCCGCACAGAGCAAACATTCTGAAGTGGCTCAAAAGGTCATGTCCTCCATGTACAGGAGGAGTACAATTTTATACTAAAGCTATTTGTAAGCTTTAGAGAGACATTTTGACCTTCAAAATACTGTATCTTTTCCTGAACTTTTTTTGTTTTACTTTGTCTTCCCTGGGCTGCCCAGAAGGCAAAACAGTCAATGTTCAAGATCCTCTAAAGCACTGTGCCTTAATAATGCGGCTTGTTCCATACTTTTATCTCTTTCACATTTGTTTTATGTGCATCTTGCAGCTTCCTTTGCCATATTGTCTCTTTAGGGAAAAGAAAAGTGGATAATGAACTTCCCATACTTGTCTTTAACTTACTGCATGTGAAACTGCCAGACAGTTTTAACATATTGGAGGGTGAGTGTTTGTGTGTAATTTTCTGAAGTTATTTAAATAAGAAATACAAACTCATCCACCAGAAATATTAAATTGCATAATTATTGCTAGAACTTGTTTGAAAACACAAACAAATTATCCATGAACCCTAATTAAAAAAAAAACAAAACAAAAAAAACCCATTCACTCTGTGGTATTTTGGAATATTTTAAAATTATTTCCCTCAAATATGTGTAAAAGTTTGGATTTCTTTACAAGAATGGTAGTGGAAAGTGGAAGTCTCATGAATATTTATTCAGGTGGCTTCACATCAGAATTGTGCAAGTGGCCATCTTAAAATATTAGTTTTCCCTCCTGTTTTTAACAGTTTGACATCCAATCAGGGGTTCTGGAACCATTTTTATAGTGAGAGTGCTGAGAGCCATTGAACAAAATTGTAAACCCTGTATATGATGGAAACCACTTCAAGCCAGGTGTGGGAGGGTAGTGGGGTGCAGTATCATGCCTAGTTCCAGCACGTATGCATCCAATCAGGGAGCAGAAACAAATACCATGTGTTGTAGATACCAAGACACCATGGTCCATTGAGGAGCCAAAGATATAGATAAGCAAATAGGGTTTCTCTCCCTAAATAGCTGTAATACTGACAGAAAGAAATTGGAGATTCTCATTAACCAAGTTAGCATTTAACAAGAGCCAAATACTTTCTTTGAGACTTGCTGTGGCTGTCACAAAAAAAAAAAAAAATGAATCAAATAGAGAATGAAATTGCCAAAGTTGTAAGCATTTTTTTATTTTCTGAAAAGTATTATTTTTGATTTGTTTATTTTATTTTACTGTTATGATGTTCACCACTAAGTTATGAAAATGCTAGACTGCTTAAAGGAATTTGTCAAAAACTAAATTTTATCTCTTATTGGTGCAGGGAAATGAGATACAGACATGAAAATAGGAGTTAGAGGAAAAGACTAAATTACTATTTAGAGAGAGGATTAAGATGATGTGGAATCTTAGGAAGGTTCTTTGAAAAAGCAAAGACTGAGTATAGGAATCTTTGGCTCTAGTCCTGCAGACTCTTGAGTTATGGGTATGTCTACACTGCAATTAAAAATCCCTGGCTGGCCCATGCCAACTGACTTGGGGTCATGAGGCTTGGGTTTGTGGGGCTGTTTAATTGTGGTGTAAATGTTCAGGCTCAGTCTCGAGCCCATGCTCTAGGACCCTGTAAGGACAATATCAGTACCACAATTAAACAGCTCCTTTGCCTGAGCCCTGTGATGGCTTCTGCAGTGTAGAAGACAGTAAGGCCATTAGAGGGCTTGAATATTTAAAGAGGTACTATCCAATTCCTATACACTATAGATAAGTATGCTTGCTCATGTGAGTACTCCCATAAAAGTCAACGCACGTATGTAAATATTTTCAGGATTAGGGCCTATGTTTGAAAATGTTTGTAGCTTCTTTGACAGCACTTCCTCCTTTCTCTTTTATTTGAGTGTGTGGCATTTTATTTTTTAGATTCAATATCTAATTAAACTGTCTTCAGCAACCACTCAAGCCAACAAAAAACCCCTGAGTTTCACTGAGTTGATCTTCTAACCAGTTGTACTCAGTCCATTTGGGGACACTTTGGGTATGTGTACACAGCATATGGAAGCGAGCCTTCCAGCTTGAGTAAACAGACTTGCGCTAGTGTAGCTTGAGCTAGTGCCTTAAGAAGCGCAATGCGAATGTTCCAGCTCAAGCCAGAGCTTGAGTTTTCAAGTTTAGGGGGTCCCAAAGGCTTGAGAGCCCAAGCTTTGGTCCAAGCTGTTTTTAGCTCGCTAACTCGAGCCCTGCTAGCTTGAGTCTGTTACCTGGTGTGGGAGGCTTGATCCCAGCTGCAGTATAGGCATACTCTGGGGGGCAATTTCCTAAGAATGGATGATGCTTAATAAGACTGGTCTCTGTTGGGTTTATTTAGGGGTTGGGTGCGGCAGCAAAGAGAAAAGATGAAACAAAATGAAAATTAGAATAAAATAGAAGGAAAGTATATGTGCTGTAATGTAAAGTGGATAGAAATGAAAGAAAAGAAAGCTTACCATGCAGTGTACCAATGTTAATCAAGAGTGATAGGTGAAAGATATCTTGCTACTTAAAGGAGGGTCTCATCAACATCAGCAAGACAACAGAGCCAAGTTTTCCAAAAATAATCTAGCATTAGGACAGTCTGGCCATTTATTTGGGTGCTTGAATATGGATTTAAGAGACTAACCTTCAGTTCCTGGTTTTGAAAATTTTGGCCTAGATGTTTGCAATTTAGTGAAAAAGGTTAATTAAAACATATCTATCACCAAAAATATATTGAGCCCTTTTTTTTGGCATTAGTAGGTTTGCTTGTAAGTGTCGGTTAATATCTTTTTAAACAATTTTAGTGTTTCTGCTCTCTGTAAAGCACCGGGTATCTAACAGATTAATATAAAGAGAGTAAACCCTTTCATTTACATTAAAAATCTTTACAATTTACTTTCAGCAAAAGAAAAAAAAAACGTATAAAGCAGCAAAGTTCTGCTATCTCCTTGTTAGCTTACCATACTGGTGCATTAAATCTTTCCTCGCTCTGTGGAATCTCATTCCACTTACAGTCTTTGAGTAACAAATTCTCTTAAGAAAATGAAAAGTGTTCCTCCAGGATCCAGATAATAAATTATTTAAAAATGGCAAGAGCAGTCAGTGTTGTTTACTCTACTTCAGCTTTCTGACAATGTCAATTGCCTAAAATTAGGACATAAAATAAAAAGTAGTATTGACAGTATGTTTTTATATGGAACCCATCCATCAGTTTGCCTTAAAGGTGCCCTTGATGCACACAAAAAATGACAATATGATGTACTGAAACCATACTAATATTCAAACCAAACCAAACTACTGCTGAGGATATACATGATCAGACAAATGGAAAATCCAGTTGAGCTTTGCTGAAAGCATTAGCAATTTCCATACTTTTAACTTCTTGGTGTGAGGAGTCCCACGCACAAAAATGGTAGTAACTCCTTGTGTGTTTTAGAGAATTTGTTCATGTAATCACTGATGTGTTTTGTAATCTTCCTTACAATTGGCATTTATATTAGGGGAAAGCATCATTAGAAACAAAATAATGATACTTTCAAATGAACCAATTTATTTTTTAGGGATAGTCTTAAATCCTAGAGATGCAGATTACTTAGAGATACCTGGTTTATGGGAAGAATAGCACAGGGATGTCTAGAAATATGAGCAGGGCTATTTATTGACTTCAGCCAAGTGCACCAATCAGTATACTCATGTTGCATACTCTCAGATGATTAGTGTTGTAAAAGCAAAGGTAATGTAGAGATTATGAGTAGAGCTATTTGGAAGAACCTCAGTGGAACAGAAAATGCAGTTCTGCCAAAAGGAAAAAGTTTCATGAAATTGTGTCAATTTTGCTGAAATTTAATTTCAGGGAGAAAAAATCAGACAATGTCGAAACTTTGTATTTTGACATTTTTGGAATGAAGACTTTCATATTCTCCTTTCAAAATGTTTTCAGTTAGAATTTATTATTTGTATTATATATTATAGTATAAAACATATTTCAAAATTGAAACACAACAAATCCATTTAAACAATTTTCTTTTGAGGAGAATTTAAAACTATTGGGTTTTTCTTCCAAACAAGAATGAAAACTAATTGTGAAATCTGTTCTCTCTTTAAGCTCTAATTAGAAGGCCTTCTACAATGGAAATGTAGCATCCTACAGGACTAAGTCTGAGAGATACCATATTGGCCTACAGGGGATCCTTTGGTGACACAAAGGAAATGCAGAGGCTTCTGTGTTGCCCCCCTGCCTGATGTCCACTGCGCTGGAAGTGCAAATTTTTAGTATCACTTGAAGACTGTGTTTGAGGGATGTTTCCTGGTCTTGCTTGCACACCAGGAGGCTATCAAGGAAAGTGTGCAATCAGAGTCAGAATGGAAAATCACATTAAAGCAAGGTGGGGTAAGCTGTGCTTTTCTACCTTAAGGAGCAGCCTGTTTTTTCTCTGTGTGTTTTTGGGTTCTGGTGTGTAATCGTTCTAAAGTTTAAGAAATAAAATAATGTTACATTGCTACCTGCCAGCAAGAGATGTATATGTTTTTTTTTTAAATCTAACTTCTCTGTGTATATGCTGTGACCATATCATCATACCAGTTTCAAGCTCTTTGGCACTGTGAAAGGCTCTATTGTGAACATAGTAACTCTAGAGTCAGGAGATAGCAAAGGTGAGCTTTAATGCCCTAATGGCACAACCTGTACTATCATCACCTCTGGCTTGTGCAATTGAGCCAGACTGCAAGGTCTGGCCCTCTGTTTTAATCAAGGCATATTTATGTATTTATTTTGTTTGTATTTGCAGAAGAGGAATAAATACCCCTTTTTGTTGACTAATATGTCACTTACACGTCATTTTTTCAGGCATGGGTTTTAAAGTTTTTTTTTTACAGAGGCGACTAAGTAATATCCTGATTTTTAAAATATTCATGCAGAATTGGGTTATTGACTGTTACCTAGTAAAACTGCTCCATGGACTCTCTCATGAGAACTGGAACTTAGTCTTCAGGGATGGTCGAGAAAGGTGAATATGAAAGCCAATGCACCATGCCATTCAAGGGCATGAAGCAGTGTGTGGCCTTCACCCAGAGCAGGACTGTAGAAGGGGCTGAGAGGGCCAGTCAGAACTGAGGCATCAGAAATTCTAAGGATATACAAGGATCTGTCACATACACTTAAACCACGCTCCCCACAACACACACTTCTCCTTTCCAATCCATAATGCTTGTTATATTGCACATTCAGATACTACTTTCCTTCATAAAGCACTTCAGGGTTAATCCATTTTAAGTCCTGGGTCTTTTCCAGACAGAAACGTTCCAGATAGATGGTGTTGAATTAAGTCACGGTTATAAGATTGGACCAGATCAATTTAGGACTAAGTTAAGAGATCACCAAGTGAGACATTTCTTTACGCTATTCAGAAAACTGTATCAATTACTTTGTATGGAAGAGGTTTCCTATATTCAAGTAGCAGCATATGTGAAGCTCCTCTTGAGGTAAGGCTGCTCAAAATACAATGTCAATTCAAATGGAAACTTCTACAAAAGAACGTTTTGCATTATTAATGGGATGTTTCGAAGATACTTTATCACAAAGGTACCAGTATGCAGTTGAAGCTGCTGCTGCTGCTGGAATTTAACTACTACACTACAGTGTTAAGTGCTTTTTTAATTACAGCTATCAAAACTCCAACTAGAGAGACTTAGACTAGAGGAACAGGGAAGTTTGATTAGTCTGATCAGTTAGGTGTCATCATTCCAGACAAGGTTTTAAAAACAAGTTTTAAGATTTGATCTCTGTGTAGAGTTTTATTTCCAGGCAGTCCAAAATTGTAACTAAACTCTCAAAGGTATTTTTTTAAATGGATCTTTTATGTGAAACAAAATGTTCTTTTCTCTTGGAGAAAATTCACATCAGAATAAATCATTTAAATTATGATCTACTTTTAACTTCTTGTTTGCTTGAATTCTAAACATTTCCAATGATTCATACCTCTAAGAGAAGGAGTTTTGTAGGTGTGTGGCATGTAGTAAAAGAACAAAGATAATGCTCAAAATTAATTAAATCAGGGTTGGGTATAATACTTGATGTGTTCAGTGGTGTTATATTAGTGAGGGAAAATAGAAATTAAACTATTAATAGAAATATTAGAAACTTTAAAATGTAAATATTTCTCTAAATAGCTACAAAGCAAACCAAACATATCACTATTATACTCGTTCATGAGAACCAGAAATTAAAATTTCCCAGTTTAGTTTCACAGCTGAGTGAAGTGCAAAATATAAAAAGCAAAAATGTTGAAAAATTACATTTTAGAAATTCTTTCAGTTTTATTCATCTAAGGTGGCAGATGCTGTGACTACAAGCAGATTCTGCCCCCACGCCTCCCACCCTAAAAATAGGATTCTATCTTATCAATGGACCTGATCCAAAGGTCCCTTGAAATCAGTGGAAAGACTTTCTTTGATTTCAATAGGCTTTTAATCAGGGCCATTGTCTCTACAACCATCATTACGGGGAGTGCCAGCCCTTTGGGATTCAGTGAGGAACCGTCTTGGATCAGAAACACCATGTCTTCCTTTAATTGCTGTGTACCCAAAGGTAGATGGAGAAAAGGAAATAACCAGTCCAGGTCATCCAAGCACAACAGTTTCTCTCCCACTGCTCCATTTGTGGGAAGAGTAAATGCAGCTGTAGTTCCTTGTCCCCTACAAAAAAAGCCTTGTCTACATGAGATTTATGAAAAATTTCTCACTATTTTAAAAACATTAGGAGTCCTAATGTAAAGCCTTTCTGCCACAGGACTTTAGATATTATAATGCTGAAATCAGTAAGCAGGATCCTGAGCATCTGTAACTTGGGAAAGAACTTTGTGTTTTTTTAGTTTGATGTCACCCAAACATCATCCCTCCTACCTGCATGTTTTCAATATCTACAATCTTTGGTTCTTGCAGCTTGAGTCCTTGTATTATTATAAACACATCTACATTGAACAGGTTACAGAGAATAATAGGAATGGCTGAAACATTTTCTGGAAAAAAAATCAAAGAATTAAGCAAAAGGAGATATAATTAAACACAAGGTGAGAGAATAGGACTCTATATAACACCATGCATAAAATAAGATTAAGTGGAAAAGGTCAAAGACACAGGAAAAAATCAAGAAGTATTAAATAATGAGAACTATTCTGAAAGTTTGACACAGTCTGAAAGTTTAATTTAAGATATTCTCTAAGCGAACAGATGTTGTTATAAACTTCAAAATCTAGACTGTGTGGATGAAGAAACCTACACTCTATAATAACAGTGGATTAAAGAACAATGACACTCTCAGAATGCTTCCTTATTTTATTTACTCAGATAGTCAAGGTTGGAGTTCCTGACTTGGTCTGTAGGCTGTTGTCAACAATACAATTATATTTGTATCACTGCGGAATTTATGGATTTTCATTTATAAAAGGATTTTTAGGTAGATATCAAGGTGGAGGTTAGACTAACAGCAAGATAAGAACAATTCAACACGTTTAATTTTCAGTATTATTAAAATGGTAAATAATAGGTTCAGTACTTCCTTTGAAAATGGATACAGATAATGTGACAATGAAAGCTAATAGGTTGCTCTATATTGTAAAAACTACATGTTTTGGTAATAATCTGAGATCTGACTGATTAAAATAAGTAAAAATCACCCATTTGCAATAGAAACCTTATCTTTCTTTGTAGGACAGCAGAGTCTTTGGGATGTGCATGTTCTTGAAAGGCAGCTGACCTTAGAGAGTAAAACTTGGATGAAGGGCAAACAGAACCATTAGTGAAAGACAAGGAGTTGTAATGAGTTTTTGGAGAGAGGAGTGATTATTGATAGAATAGATGGTGTCTCAGTGAGGTCATTTGAGGTTGGAGGGTTTGTTCTAGAGGAGAGCAAACATAAAAACTGGTGATGACGGTAAGAATCCATCAAAATGAATTTCTTTTGTTCCAGTGGACAAGCTGTTGGAGAGGGTGGAAAGACACATATTTGTTGGATAATTATCTTCTATGTATGTCTGTGCTAGGATTGTTCCTTGAGTTTGGCAAACACTTGACAATGTTCTAATTTGTAATATTTGTAAATAAATACAGAATTATCTTTGTAATCAATTATGACAATCAGAATATATAGAAATTAAAAGGAATTCTGTAAAAAATCTTCTAAATTCTACAAAATTTAGTATAGAGTGTACTTTTCTATAGAATTTGAGAAAGAATTCTATTAAAGTCTAAAGTACAGTTTAAAAAACCCTAAAGAGTATCATTTGTATTGCATTCTTTAGAAAACGTTTGTAGAACAAGTTCTGTAGAAATTCTTTTGATTTCTATAAAAAACCTATTGATTTAATTCCAATTCAATTACATCCCTGATTTAAAATTCCAAACTGGAAAAATCCTATTGCCCAGAAACCCAAGACAAGTAGAAATGTTGTTTGGGAAATTAGAAGTGTCAGATGTCCTATCCACTGGAGAACTGGGAAAGCTAGGGATAACTGTGTGACATCAGAAACAACAGTGTTGAGCTGACAGCCAGAAGTAAGGGTAGCTAGAGGGGTTGAGTGGAGGTGGAGACAAAGAAAACAGCTTCTTCTGGGGCAGGATGAGTGGAAAGGGTCAGGGAGAACAACTGAACTGTGTTACGAGCCAGGAAGGGACTGGGAAGGTGGTAGACCTGGAAGTGTGTGACCTTTTTTTTTTTAAAGTGTTTTATATATGTTATCCAAAATAAAGGAAGTGGAGTGGAATACATTCGATGGGGGGAAAAATACTTGTTCATATTTACATGTTACTCTAGATATATTTGTTCCTATAAAGACAAGCTTGTTCAAAATTAGTAGATGAAGTGTTGTTACTGGTGTGTTAAGTAGTGCATAAATGTATGTTAATTATAGCAATCAAGATTTATGATTATGGAGATTTAGGAATAAGCAAGTACAACCAAGGCCAAAACCCATTTTAAGAGTGGAAGAAGTACTTATACTACAGAGATTTTCTGTCAAAAATATTTTTTCTTGGTGAAGAACCTCAATAAATTGTTTTAATATTTTACTGTGTAGCATGAAAAACACAATTTATATCACTGTATTTCCCAATCCTTTGTATTTCCCCAGTCCTGAAATACCAGAGGTTCTTAGCAGTTCATAAATGTGTCAAGTTTATTTGGGTGTTACCTCAGTGACTGATTGTACAATTTTAGATCATGTGTTTGACACTCAATAAATATTTTCCAAGAATTCTATGAAAGTAATTATAGTTTTTATGTCTAAAATATGGAAATACTGTCCCTTTAATGAGTGTTACATGCTGGGATAGTGGCATGGAACTTTAGTACTTGTTTTCAGAAAGACTAAAGACCCAGAATTGTTAGCTAAGTGCTGTGAGCATCGGCTGTGTGTCCCTGAAAAATACTGAAGAAAACCAAGCAGACATGAGGCTCAATAAATGTACAAGGTCTTGTCAACCCCCTGGAGGATTTTTTTTTCCAGAGCTGATAGAAAAAAATAGAATATCAGAAGTTTCTGATGAAGAATCCACCACCTCCCTTGGTAGTTTCAATGGGGTTCAGAAGGGAGCTAGGTAGATTCATGGAAGATAGGTCCATCAGTGTCTATTAGCCAGGATGGGCAGAGATGGTGTCCCTAGCCTCTGTTTGCCAGAAACTGGGATTGGGTGACAGGGCATGGATCACTTGATAACCTGTCTGTTCATTCCCTTTGGGGTACCTCCCATTGGCCACTATCAGAGGACAGGATACTGGGCTTGATGGACCTTTGGTCTGACCCAGTATGGCCGTTCTTATGTTCTGTCCAATGGTTAATCAAACCCCACTATTAAAAAAAACTTGTGCCTAACTTCTTTTGTATATTTTTCAGGCTTAAACTTCTAGTCATTCATTCTTGTTATGTCTTTCTTTCCTAGATTAAAGAGACCTTTAGTTCCTGGTATTTTCTCCCTCTGGAGGTACTTTATACATTGTAATCAAGTCATCTCTTAATCTAACTTTTTTGATAAACTAAACAGATTGAGCTCTTGAAGTCTCTCACTGTAATCCATTTTCTCCAGATCTTGACTCATATTTGTGGCTCTTTTCTGCCCCCTCTCCAAGTTTTTAACATAAAATGTGGAGAATAGAGCTGGGTGCAGTATTCTAGTATCAGTCTCACCAATGCTGCGTACAGTGGTAAAATCACCTCCCTAATCCTATGCTCTAACACCCTATTTTTACATGCAAGAATAACACCAGCCCTTTTTGCCACAGCACTGCACTACGAGCTCGGGTTAATTTGTTTGTCCATTATGACACCTACATCCATTTCAGAGTCACTGCTTTCTAGGATACAGTCCTCTATTTTAGGAATAGCCTGCATTCCTTGTTTCTAGATGTATTACTTTGTATTTGGCTATAATAAAATACATTTTGTTTGAATGGGTCCAGAGTGAGATCAGTCTGTATGACTGCCTAGTCTACCCTTTCCTCATCATTATTTACCACTCTGCCAATCTTTGTATTACCTTCAAATTTTATAATCAGTAATTTTGTATTTATTTCCATATCATTGATGAAAAAGTTGAATAGTGTCAGGCCTAGCCTAGAGTTGTGTCAGTCCCTAGATCCTGCCATATACCTAACTGCTACAGGGGCGTTTCTGGCTGAGTGGCATTTAGCAGGCCATAGAGAAAGAAGCCAGAGCAGGGAATTCAGGCAACCGTGATGCTAGCCATGGATATGCTGCCTGCATTTGCTCTTAATTTTCCATATCTGGCAACAAGATAGGAGGTAGAAAGGAAAAGAAAGTATTTTTAGCCTGGACATTGATTGACCGAGCCTAGAGTGTTCTGGGTATGGTGAATTATAAATATTTTCTAAGAAAAACATGTAATTCCCCAAGGTTATGTATTGGTATACAATTTTTTCGGATGAATTAAATGTAGCAGCTACATGAAAATAAGATGTAAGGCAGCTGAACTCTAGCAGTGACTAATGCAAACTCCTCACACTCAGTAAAGATGGAGCTGATTTAAAAAAAACAAATAAAAACAAAACAAACAAAAACAAAGAACTGTGGCCACCTGCTTCCTTTGTCCCTGTGCTTCACTGCTTCTGTTACTGCTTTATTTTTCTTGTACCTCTGATTGGCTAGTGGGAGAAAAAGAAGGAACTCTCATTTCAAATTCACAGCACTTTCCCAGATGCTTTAAAGAAACAGCATCAAAGATATTATGTTCCAGCTTCAGTTCTGTTGGGAAATTTCAAGCCCACATCATTGAAGTGAGTTTAAAATTTCCCTCCCATTACCATTCTGTGATGGTAGTAACGCACAAGTGAGGTGAGTTTTTTATACCATTATCTTTGGTGTATCAAATTACACAGCAGAAGTAAAATCCTTTCTAAAGGTACATGTCTCATTTACAAATTACCTAAAAAAATCCTTGTTTGTTTCCATCCTTTGTATTGCCTCTTGACCTGCTCACGTGAGTAGCCAGTGCAGAGGAGTAAGGGGGTCTTCTGTCTTCTTATGCTCCCTTAACCCCCTGCATCATATATATGAAAGTAGGTTCATCACTGAACCCTAAATATGTTTAACTACTAACTGCAAAGTGTCCATACGAAGACATTAACTACACATAATAACAAAAACAAATAAATAAAAAATCACCTAAAATGCCCCACATTTGCCTAAGGAGAAGGGATGATTGCAACATAACATAATAGCCTGGCAGATGTGTTAGACTGAATTAATCCTACGCTGATCTACTGGTGGTCTCACATGTATTTGTATTGTGAACTGAACTCTTGAGTGACAAATTGAATAGATGAGCTGACACTGTAAACAAATTGAGCAGCACTACTCTTGCTCTGGTTTGCTTCTGTTGCCTCATTGTTTACCTTTGGGGAATCTGACATGCTGTGATGGACCCCAGCTCCATCTTCAGAGGTCAGTTTGGTCTAAACTGAGGTGGATTCAAATCAGGTGACTTACTAGGTGGTGTAAGTATTAAAGCTCCTTGTCTTGTTGCATAATAATGTGCTAATTTACTGCCCTTTTTTTTTTAAAAAAAACAAACACTGGGAGAGAGTTTTGTCTGTGCCTCTTGAAGCAGTGAACTCATAGCAATGGGAGGGCTAAGTTTGCTTAAAGTCCCCTTTATGCCCTCCCAGTTCTGGGATGCTCCAGGAGACCTAAATGGCTCCCAGTGGAATTAGATAACTTAAATCTCCCATTGAGTTCATTGGGCAGGACGAAGCCCTTAAGGGTAAAATTCATTCATGAGTGAAGCCTTCAGGACTAGGCCCTAAAGCCTGGGTTCTGCATCCTACAGTGAGCTTGAACTGGTGTTCACCTGCACAGTAGAGATGGGCAGGAAATGGCTTTCCCCTCCTGTGCAAATTTTTGAGAGTTCAAAAAAACTCCCCAGTCTGCATCAGACCAAAATGGAGACTTTATGATGTTTTTTTGAAGGGAGAGAGACAGAGATTCACCCCACTCCCACATAACCCAAGGGTTATGGTGCATCCCTGGGAATTGGGAGACCCACATTCAAATCCTCACTCTGCTTGATTCAGAGCAGGGACTTGAACCCATGTCTCCCACATGAGTGTATAACCCATGTGTCTAATAGAGAGATATCTCCTGAAGACCTCTATTGGGGGATGGGTAGGTATGAGTTGTGTCTGGGTCATTGATGCTAGGCAAGGCACAACTAGCTCTCCATACTCAGAAGTTTCTGGAACTGGGTGTGATAGTTTTGGGTGTGCCCAATAAGTTCCCTGTTGCTGGACTCAGATGCCATGAGGGAAAATAGTTAGGGCAGCTGCTTTACAGAAGACAATTTGCACTTTGTGTGTTCGGAGAAGTTGAGCCACAGGAACAGAAAGCAGGCTGTTTCCTCCTAACTCGGAAACATTTTGCAGCAGGTTATTGATATTGCTACACCCTCCAACAGAGGAGCCCAGGCAGTGTTAATTATAGAAAGTGGAAATAGGAAGGGAAAATATTTATTTTAATTCTACACTTTGAATGTTTGATATTAGCCAATCCGTTTTTGTTAAATTCTCTTAATGAGTGTGATTCAGCAACTTTTCTCTTATTTAAATGTGGTGATGGGGAAAGAGTTATTTATTTTTATATTCTCTCTCTTTTTATTTTTCTTGTAACAGGAATGTTGGTTGGTTGGTTAACTAGTTAGCTGCCTAGCTGAGTGACTTCAGCAAAGGAGGAGGAAGAGCCTGCGTGAATTCAAACAGAAAAATTCTACAAGCAAGTGGAGGGAAGATGTTTCTTTTGATTCAGCAGACCGTGTAGATTTTGGTGATCAAAGACTGTAGCTGAGACTAGGTGAATTCAATCTAAGCTTTTGGATACTCTGAGTTTCTTCTCACTGTTTCTGTGGGGACTGGTCTGTTTAGATTTATTTTTTTTCTTTATGTTTTTGTATAATTTTAATGTATGTAGCTTATCAAGTAGCAAAGTTATATTATAAAAATATTATTATAATTTGTTTCTTTTTCCTAAGCGTTTATAAAGTTGGTATTTAAGAATTAAATTCTTTTGGACTTGATTGTGGAGATGTTGACCCTGTTCAATTCTTTTTGAAAATCCCCAAAGACTGAATTCTGGGTCTCTAGGTACTTTCTTATGGGAGCTGGGTTTATGAGCCACTGGAGAAGGGCAATAAAGTAAACTCAAGCTCACCCAAAGGTTACAAGTGCACTAACTGTTGGACTATTGATTCAGCCTCTGTTCTCTACTCAATCTCTCCTACTGGAGCCATTCTATTTTGTATTAAATATTAATTGGGCTAAAGACAGAGACTTACTCTATTGGCTAGTGGTTGTGATACTCCACTGTGACATGAGAGCTCCAGGTGCAAGTCTCTGCTTTGAATCAGATCCGGTCTGCCACATCACAGCTGAGTCTCATAATTGCTGGGCTATCGGGTATTACAGGATAGAATGAGCTCTCATATTGAGAATTCTCCTCTGTTGGACCTGAGAAAGCTTTCCTAGCAAAAGTACCTAAATTGGTACATCCCCCTCCCCACTCCTCCCCACCCAAAAAAGATGACTCAATATTTTCTGAGGGGGTGGGGGCAGTTTTGTCAAAAAATCCTGACCACTTCTATTGCACAGAGCTCATTGCAGGAGTGGGACCCAAGTGTGTACTGTTATGCAATGTGTATAATAACTGTAACTTGGTTCACAGACCTAGCCTTACAACATTAAAATTTGCTCCCTTTCCTTAACTAGTTCTCTTAGTACTCCCAGTTTTCAAAAATATGTTTTCAGCTAGCTTCAAAAAGTCTTTGAAATATTTTCTTTAATGAATCAGTAATAATCGCACACTTCAGTTTTAATTAGAAAAAAATGCATCACATTACATGAGAGAAATGTTTAAGAAAAAATGACAACGGCAACATGATTTTGAAACTGCATAAATGCAGCTCACAAAGGAAAAGATGTTTTATATGCTTGCCAAATGCTTAATGAAGCCTGTGCTGGTCTCCACTGGTGTGACACTACAGATTCTGAAGGTGAATTTCCTTCTCAGATTCAATCAGGTCAAGCTACTTTGACTACTCCTTCTCTCTTCACAGGAACATAGAAGGTGACAGCCCAAATACTGTTTAACTGAGCACTAACTACGGAATGCAACTAATATGTGGCAACTGTTGTCATGCTGTCTGGAGTGGCTCATGACCATGAGTACTTGCCTCAGGGTAGACACGCGAAACTGGTGGTATGTTCTATAATTAGATTTCACCAACTCAGTAACAAATGTGAATTCCTGGATCACTATAACAGTCTGATCATGGAGTCACAGACCGTTCCCTTAGGCTCTCCAGTCTATTTTGCCACCCAGGCAAACTGGACTTAGTGGTGAATGGTGATTTACACCAAAAATCACAAAATATTCATGTTGCTCCCAGTCCCAAGAGACCAGTCACTTATCCCAGATCAATTGGTACCTTAGATTTCACACCAAAGACAGTGACTAGAGCCAGTTTTGTAACAAACTAACTGAAGATTTATTAACTAGGAAAAAGAAATAAGAAAGTTTATTTACAAGTTAAAGCATGCAAACATACATACAAATGAGTTACCATCTGTGGTTCCTAAAGATTATAGTGATACAGTAATCTGTCAATTCAAAATGTCTTTCAGGACAGACCCAGAGACAACCAATGGCAACCTCTGCCTTAGTTTACAAAAACAACAAGGAGTCCGGTGGCACCTTAAAGACTAGTATATTTATATGGGCATAAGCTTTTGTGGGTAAAAAACCACTTCTTCAGATGCATGGAGTGAAAATTACAGATGCAGGCATTATATACTGACACATGAAGAGAAGGGAGTTACCTCACAAGTGGAGAACCAGTGTTGACAGGGCCAATTAGATCAGGGTGGGGAGTGGATTTTCACTCCATGCATCGGAAGAAGTGGTTTTTTACCCAAGAAAGCTTATGCCCAAATAAATCTGTTAGTCTTTAAGGTGCCACCAGACTCCTTGTTGTTTTTGTGGATACACACTAACACTACTACCCGCTGATACTTGCCTTAGTTTAGGGTCTCTGGCTCTGTAAGAGTTCAAACAGCAATGAGTTGAAAAATTTTCCATTTCCCATTATCATCATTACATTTGCCACTGTGATAAATGAAGGGGGAGTAGGGTAACTCCCATTTATCAACACCCCACCATCGAGGTCAGCCCAAAGCCCCACCTCACAAGGAAGAGCCCTCCACACAGCCAGGGAGACCCCAGATGCCCTCTTATCCCACCACCCCACTCTCCAACCACCCACCTCGCCCCAGCCCACAATCAGCTGGGTGATGCTTTAAATGTAATGAGCTGGGGCATGTGAAGGCCAACTGCCCCAAGAGCACCAGCCGACTACAACTCATCGCCCCGGAGTCCAACCAAGAGACTTCAGGCCCAGATGTCTCACAAATATCCCCAGAGCGAGGGGAAACTGTGTGTGGGTGGGAGGAATATTACTGCATGGAGAGACACTGGAGCACAGATGTCAACTATCCACCAGTCCCTGGTGGACCCAAAATTCATTGACCCAGAGGCCCAAGTGATGGTACAACCCTTTAGGGACAACTCTTTTAACTTGCCTACAGCCAAGTTGCCTGTCCAGTACAAATGCTGGTCAGGAATATGGATTTTGCAGTCTATGACGATTATCCCATTCCCATGCTGCTGGGAGAAGACTAAGCCAACCATGTGAGGCTAACAAAAAGGGTGGGAATGGTCACTTACAGCCAAGCTAAACAGGCCTCCACACCTAACTCCATTCCTGAGCCTTCTACAGGAACCTAGCCAGAGGTGGTGGAACGAGAATTCAGCCCAGAGTCTTTGGCAGCAGTTGTAGATCCAGTTCCTGGAACCCAAGCAAAATCAGCCCAGGAACTGAAACTGGTGGAGCAGTGAGCACCAGAGAGCATGCTTGTAAGCCTACCAGAATCAGGTGAGCCAGCACCAAAGGGCGCCACAGAGCCTGCATCTGCAGCAGCAACTAAACCAGAGCAAGAGGCTCACCTGGAGCCTGAAATACCGCGTAGTGCAGCAGCAGAGAGCAGTTCACAGTCAACGGAAACAACCCCATCACCTGCATCACTTCCAGAGGGACCAAACCCAAATCCACTACCCAGCGAGGATCTAATGTCTTCAGCATCAAGACAACAGTTCCAGGGAGAACAGGAAGTGGATGAGAGACTCAAGGGAGCTTGGATGGCAGCATGGAGTGACCCACTGCCTCTCAGCTCTTCTGATTGAGTGCATGTTTGTTATAGAAGGAGGACTCTTATACAAGGAAATCCTTTCTGGCGGGCACAAGGAGGATTGGCATCGTCAAAGAGAGTTGGTAGTTCCAACTAAGTATAGGGAAAAGCTCTTGAGCTTAGCCCATGATCACTCTAGTGCCCATGCTGGGGTGAACAGGACCAAGGACCATTTGGGGAAGTCATTCCACTGGGAGGGAATAGGCAAGGATGTTTCTACCTATGTCTAGTCTTATGAGGTGTGCCAAAGGGTGGGAAAGCCCCAAGACCAGGTCAAGGCCCCTCTCCAGCCACGTCCCATAATTGAGGTTCCATTTCAGCATGTAGCTGTGGATATTCTGTGTCCTTTCCCTAAAAATACACCCAGAGGAAAGCTGTGCATACTGACTTTCATGGATTTTGCCACCCGATGGCCGGAAGCAGTAGCTTTAAGCAACACCAGGGCTAAAAGCGTGAGCCAGGCATTGGCAGACATTTTTGCTAGGGTAGTTTCGCCCTCAGACATCCTTACAGATTTGGAGACTAATTTTCTGGCAGGGACCATTAAACATCTTTGGGAAGCTCATGGGGTGAAACACTTGATTGCCACCCCTTACCACTATCAACCAAATGGCCTAGTGAAGAAGTTTAATGGGACTTTGGGTGCCATGATACATACATTCATGAATCAGTACTCCAATGATTGGGATCTAGTGTTGCCACTGTTACTTTTTGCCTACAGGGCTGTACCACATCCCAGTTTGAGATTTTCACCCTTTAAACTTGTTTATGGCTACAAAGTTAAGGGGCCATTACAGTTCGTAAAGCAGCAATGGGAGGGGGTTACATCTTCTCCAGGAACTAACATTTTGGACTTTGTAACCAACCTGCAAAACACCCTCAAAGACTCTCTAGCTCTTGCTCGAGAAAACCTACAGAATGCTCAACAGGAGCAAAAGACCTGGTATGATAAACATGCCAGAGAGTGTTCCTTCAAAGTAGGTGACCAAGTCATGGTCCTGGAAGTGCTGCAGGCCAATAAGATGGAAGCATCATGGGAGGGGCCATTTATGGTCTGAGAGCGCCTGGGAGCTGTTAATTACCTCATAGCATTCCCAGACCCTAAACTAAAACATAAAATATACCATGTTAATTCTCTAAAGCCTTTTTATTCCTGAGAAATCAAGGTTCTCCAGTTTACAGCCCATGACTCTGAATGGCCTGAAAGAGTCTACTATGAAGGAAAAAACAATGGTGGCGTAAAAGAGGTGAGCCTTTCCATGTCTCTTGGGCATAAGCAGTGACAGCAAATCCAGGAGCTGTGCATCAGCTTCGCACCAATGTTTTCATCCACCCCAGGATGGACAGAACAGGCATACCACTCCATTGACACAGGTGATACTCACCCAATTAGAGCCCAACCCTACCGGATGGCTCCTCAAGCCAAAACCTCAATAGAAAGGGAGATCAAGCACATGTTACAGATGGTTGTAATCCGCCCCTCTAAGAGTGTGTGGGCCTCTCTAGTGATTCTGGTTCCCAACCCAGATGGGGAAATCCACTTTTGTGTGGACTACCATAAACTAAATGCTGTAACTCTCCTAGAAAACTATCTAATGCCATGCACAGATGAGCTATTGGAGAAACTTAAATAAGGGGTACTGGCAACTGTGACTAGATGACCCAGCCAAGGAAAAGTCAGCCTTCAGCACACATGTAGGGCTGTATGAATTTAATGGGCTCCCTTTCGGACTGCAAAATGCAGCTGCCACCTTCCAGAGACAGGTAGATAACCTTC